AAAAAGCATAAATGTACCCCAGTCTAAATTGTGGGAAGCCCTCGAGAAAACGAATATCAGCATAACATTAATTAAGGCTGTCCAAGAACTTTATAAGAACAACACTAGCCAAGTAAAGAAAGGAAAACAGTATCAAAGGGATTCAGCATAAACAAAGGTCTTAAACAGGGCTGCTGTCTATCGCCGACACTGTATAAAATCTATTTGGAACAAGCTCTGAAAACGTGGAAAAGGAAGTGCGAACAGATGGGGATACCACTAAACGACTCGATACTTTACACTCTTTGTTTCGCTGATGATCAAATAATACTGGCTCAAGACTACTAAGTAACATTACATCACAAAAAAAATAATCATTAACACAAAAATTAACTAAAAATTAAAGAAACAAATAACAAAATAAGAAGAAACAAACAAAAGGCCAAGTGAATAAAGTAAAAGCACAGATACAAATAAAATTAAATAACAATATCCAGGCTTTTTTGCCTGCATTTCATTAAGTACCTCCTCTGTACTAACAGATATTTCTGGATACATATACAAAAGGGATAAGCCATTTAGTCTGTCTTTACTTACGGTGTTACTGACGTAGGACTTTAACAATTTAGGGTTGAAAATTTCCTTTCAGGTGTTGCCGTACTAACGGGTAAAGTGCAATTTTTTTTAATAAGATAAATATGTTAGGAAATAGTTCTTGGTCAAATATTAACAGAGCATCGAGTGCGGAACTTGGGTAGTCTTCTGGTGCATAGTCTTCAAATATTCTATGCTAGAGCTTAAATTCAGCCGAAACTACAGAAAATGAAGAGTTTTCTAAGTCGTTTTTATAAAAATCTATAGCATATATTTTAGATTCGATACTTCATAATCGGATTTTTTATTTAGGGAGGGAATATAAGAGAGCTACATGACCGTAGTATGTCTTTGTATTTAACAAATCGTTCTTCCAAATGTAATACTACGTGATCTAAAAAAGGAATAAAAATTAATAATCTGTAATAATCTTGAGCAGTTTCAGTTTTAAAATTCGGCCTGTTTTTTTGTCTACTAGTTATTCGTTTTTTTTTATTTCCTGTCCAAACAATTCGTTCATGTTTCTGTTTGCTTCTGTAAAAATATCTGCGAAGCTGGCATTTAAATTATTGTTTAAAATATAAATAGGACCGGCGCGCGTCGTGTCTGGAGGGGGCAATTGCCCCCTTTGCCCCCCCCTTGGATACGCCACTGCTGATAGTTGTATAAAGGTAGTAAATCTAGATGGAAATTGTGGCAGCACTTAAATTAACAGTGACACTATCGCGATTTATCGAAAAAGACTCTAAAATAGTTGGTTGTGTAGCGTGCGGTAGATCTCGGCAAAAATTGAGTGAAATAATGGAACAACTTTTCGCTAGTAAGTGACTATAATATACATACGTGTAGTAAACCGATCATTTATGAAATTCACTGAAATTAACTAAATTATATATTTTTCTTGCATTTTTAGCTTTTTATTTATTACTTGTCAAAGATTAGATGTCAAAGAATTTAGATACGTTAATTTGACTTACCTGCTTCAGTAGCGTATCGGATGTTTGTGGTAATAAATACTTATTAGAACTTATCTATTTTTATTAGAATTATATATTTTTATAACAATTTTAATAACTACCAACATTTATTCACAACGTAAAATAAAACAACAAATTATTGAGTCTACCCTACCTCATAGTTTTACATTTTTTAAATAAAATTAGAACGACACTGATAAACCGGAATTTTAGTCGGCCATATTTGAGGCCCATTGTGGTGTACCTAAGATTTTTGATATGCTCCTTCGTTAAGCTTGATTTTCATGCCTCCGTTGTCCGACGATACGTTGATAGGATATTAATTTTATTGGTAGAATTTAAAGACTTTGATTGGTTAGAAAACAACGCACTCTTTAAATTTATTGCATTTTCATGCCTCCGTTTATCGGATATACGTTGGTGTTATTTTATACTTTCGTTTCCATAACGAATTTGCTATTTTACTTATATTTTTATTATTGTTAGATTAAATTTGTCAAAAAAGTGTCAAAACGTCCTTTATCGTATGAACGGGTCCGTTGACGGGCTGAAGTAAAATATTTACGGATGAAAAGTGGCGCGAAAACGCTATGACCAATCAGAGCACCGTCGGACCAACGTACCAACGTATAACGGATGCATGAAAATCTAGCTTTAGTCTTCTTATTCAACGATCCACGTAATATGATCTAGGGACCCCGCCCACTCGTAACGTAGGTCTCAGCTTGTCTCGAAACCGACGTGACGCCACAAAGCGAACGTCTGGAGTCTGGGAGCAGTCGGCAGGCAGACATCCGCTTATACAGTGTTGATGTTATTGCTTTGTGAAATTAGTACACGTGCTATACAGATTATTTAGTTATTTTGTTGAATTTAATAAAATAAATAAAATTATACTGGTAAACAATGGAAGAGGGATCTTCCGATGGAAGCAGCGCTAGTAAAAAAAGGAAATCTCGGAGAAGTTGCGCGGTACCCATGTGCACAAATACTACAAGATCAACACCAGATAAATTTTTCTTTTCGTTACCACCAGGTGAGGACATTCGAAAGAAATGGTGTAAAGCAATGAAGAGGGATGAGATGAAGTTAGACCCATTGTCTTTTATTTCGGTATGCAGTATTTGCGACGATCATTTCAACGTAAGTAGGAATATGATATAAAAATATAATCATTAAAAAATATTTTAGTGCAAAAGGACCACATATTTAATTAGACATTTTATTATTAGGAATATTACTATACATAATAAAAACACTTATTACTATATGTTTTAAGTACAGGGTGTCTCATTTTCGTGTGTTTTATAGGGTTTCTCGTTTATGAGTAGAGATACAAAGTTTTGACATCACAGTGCTCTTTTTTTATGAAACCAAAGATGTTATGTATACCGGGTGCGTCTCAAAAGTGGCTCACCTCTATAACTTTTTTATTTTTTTAGTTAAAAAATCTAGATTTGGTATGTTAGTATATGACATAAATCAGAATTGATTGACGTATTCAATTGTTTTCGGTAACTTCCTGTTAGCCTCCGGTATTTTTTTTTTACTTTATTCGATAGAAAATAACACTCAGAATTGAATGACATATCATATGTCACTTTGGATATTTTCGCATATGATTTATTTGAAATTATAACTTGCGGCTCGTAGCGAAAATTTGACTCGAAATACCAAGTGTGTGGTATCAAATTATTCGTAAAAAAATGCTTTTCCAAATGTGCTAATGAGCTACCCTCGTTCCATTTGAAAAAATTGAAATGTGATTTAAAATACGATTTGAGCATTTTCTAACTTGCCAGGACAAGACACTAAAAACATTAGACGATCAAATCTATTTTTTCAAGGCACCTTGATTAAGAATTAGTGTTTTTAACATAACCATGGCACTTTAGATTTAATTTTAAAATACGATTTTTTATTAAGCGAGAATGTCAAAAGTTGACATATGATATGTCATTCTATTCAGAATGTCATTTTCTCTCGAATAAAGTAAAAAATACCGAAGGTGCCATTTAAAAATCAAAAGTTGTAGTCGTTTCCGACGAAACAGGAAGGTGGTGCACACAAATGGTGCAAAGACAATTGAATACGTCAATTCGTGTCATATACTAACATGCCAATGAGGAAAACGCATGTTTTTAAATAATGGTTTTAAAAAAATAGTTGATATAATTACAAATTGAACAGAAAAAATCGTTGATATCGGTTAAGAAAGGCCTCTAATATAAAATAATTAAATACTGTTAATTTAAATGGCCGGGCAACATTGGCGTAACTACAAGGGTGCCGGGCCTCCCCCAGGTCCTGCTGGGCACCTCCCAGAGAAATCCTGAATTATGACGCTTGGCTATACGTATTAATTTTTATTTGCTGGTGATGCAGTAAAAATTACGTTTTCTAGTTTTGTTTAGTTAATATTTTTTTGTTATATTCAAAAAATGTGTTAATTTTTTTTTTAGAAAATTTGTAGGTATTTAAGTAATCTACGGGAACACGGTTTGATAATTATTAAGTCTATGAAATTTATTGATAGAGAAATTCATGTAAACGTTTATTCAAAAAATGTGTTTTTTTAAATTATTTTTCATTTTTAAAAAAACAAAAGCTCTAGGCCCCCCCTGGGCTCAACCCCAGGCCCCCCAGGCCCACCCCAGGATAAATTACTAGTTACGCTAAAGCTGGGCGCGCACTGCATCGGATCGGACCGACCCAAGAACAGTTAACCTAATAGGACTGCTCATTCAGCCAAAAGTGTCCGCCAGGTGCATGCGAAAACTACTCGCTTTGTGACGTCATTGTAGCCCTTGTCATGGTTATTAGTCCTTATCCGGCAACCAATAATACACACACGTGCATTATTGGTTACCGAATGCAAAACGTTCATTATTTAGTTTATTTATTTAAACACCTTATATGTATGCAGTATAGAAAATTAACTGTATAAATCGTATTAAATACTCGGATAATGCATTTTTAAGAACAGCAGTTCCCAGTGTATCACCTTTTGCAAGCATTCTTTTTAGAGTACTTCCATATTTTGCTTTAAAATAATTAATAAACAAAATCGTGGGCACTTAGTATGCACTTTGTCACAATCCACAACACAAAATGAACGTATTTATACACTCCATAGCTCTAAAAACTTTAAAGACACCTTTTTCACATTTAAAATTGACAAAATAATTAACTCAAAATTTCTCAGCTGTTATTTTTATAAGTTTACCATAGGCAACTAATAATACACACTATCATGACAAAGCCACGAAGGCTTTGACAAGGGCTACAATGACGTCACAACTGTCAGCTGAAGCGCGGGAAGAGGCTAACGTACGTCTTATGAGGATGAGCAATCCTATTAGTTTACCGTTCTTGGGACCGACCAGCAAAAGCGACTGCGACCATCGTACATATAGACGGCGCCGACGTCCACTAAAACATTTCGGCCTGTAGAGGCCAGATTCCTATCTCTACCTATCTACGATAGTCGAGTCACCGCTTTCGCCGTTTCTCGCCGGACTGGTGCCAATTCAGTGCGCGTGCACCTTAATGCCGGGCAAACGCTCTTTACCGCGCCCTGCCGCTGTGACGTCACCCGCCGTCCTTCTGGTTGAGTGGAGCCAGACGCGTGTTTATTTTACACAGTTTGCTTTTAAACGCTGTTGAATCCGAGTCGAAATTTTAGTTATTTGTGTTAATTAAGACATAATTAGTAATTAGTGATATTTATAAATAGTAATGGATGAGCGAAAACAGTCGGGAAGTTCTAAAAAATACTGCGTGGTTCCGCTTTGTAAAAATACTACTTATACTACGCCAGACAAACTATTCTTTAGTGTACCAAAGAATGATGCTATAAGAAAAAAATGGTGCAAGGCCATGAGAAGAGATGAAAAGAAAAACGTGAAATTATCCTCTATTTCTACGATTTATTGTTGTGAAGATCATTTTGATGTAAGTTCATATATTTATGTCTATTGTCTTACATACAGGGTGTCCCACTTAAACGCTTTAAAAACTAAAAAAAAATATCTTGATTCTTTGTTGAGCGATCTTTTTCATTTTTGGCAGGAGGCTGTATGGCTATAAGACGTACATTTTACCCAGGGTAAGAAATGGCACAGTCCGAAAATTATCGATTTTTATTTTCTCTGTTTTTATTGGTCGCTTCAAAATTCAGAGTAACAAAAAATATTTTTCTGTAGTAAAAGACTGTGAAATACGCCCCGCCATCTGGTGCTTTACATCCATAAACGTCTTAGGTTGAGCTACTTTAAAAATTCATATACAAGGATAAAACTCACCTTTATTTTTTTCCTAGAATCCGAAAATCAATTAATATATAGGGTGTTCCATTAGAAAAAAATAAAACTTTGATGTGTAACTTTTTTTGGGGACACTCCGTATAATTCTATATATTTTTATAAAATGCTTTCAGTTAACTTACATATGCTGCCAAAATTTCATTTCGATAAAAACTACCGTTCTCCTTGGAGCTTCCACGGCGTATGAGGGGCGCCACCCTGTATATTGTTTGGCATAGCTTTGTTAATTATTTAATTTCTTTTTTTTTTTTTCAATTAATTATGTATAATCCGAGATATAATCTTATTAAATGAATATTCTCAAATTAATGTTGCTAAACTTAAAATTTCATTCTGATTAAAATTTCTAATGCATATTTTTTGCATTTTTTGTTAAAATTTGATGCATTTAGCCTTGAACCATGAAAGGTGGCGCGAAGTTTGAGAGCACCGTATCAAAAACTATATTTACGGATTTTTTTTGTAAAAAATAATAACATGTGGTTGTTATAGGTACATATATGCATAGTTTTTCGTGTTCTTTTTCCCAACAATACATTTCTAGAAAATAATAAATTTTACTTTAAAAATGTTTTGTCTAAATTAGTCTGGCACATTTTATGCTTTTCACTGCAACACTGGAACATAAATCCTCGTTTAAAAAGCTATTATCATTTTATTTAGTTTAATTTAACCAATTAATTTTGCTTAATAAACTACAGTGAAAATAAACTTGTGCAGATTTTCGATAACACGGTGTCAACCAGAATTGTTGATATTTTATAATTGCACTTGTGCAATTATTCTACACACAGAAACCAGCGTTGAATGGACAAAATGGTATCAGCGGTAATGTAAAAAACTAAAATTTGACGTCAAATAAATTATTTGATTGTTTTGTTTACCTAATTCAAACCAGCCGCCTATGTTGAAAAGTTAAATAATGCATTATTTTACCATGTATATGAAAATAAGTATAATAAAATTATATAAAGATTCTTGCCACTTAACTGCTTATATAGAAATTTAATTTTACGCTGTGTTTGTCATATTGTGGTGCCTGAAAAAAAAGCCTTCTACCATCCTTTTCCTATCGTCCTATCGATAGTTGCGCCCCGGTGGTACGAAAGTACTACCATTGCACATAGGCCGCATCTCCCGTTCGGGACTTAATATCTAACCGACACTTTCCGACAAGTCGGAATTAACTATTTCTGCGCTGTGGTTGTCATTTTGTGGATCTGCCCAAGCTCACCTGATGATGGAGTAGGGTTCCGAAACCGGTAGTGAAAGCAGGTTGATCCACAATATGACAAACACAGCGTAGAATTAAATTTCTATATAAGCAGTTAAGTGGCAAGAATTTTTATATAATTTTATTATATACCTATACTGCAAGAAATTTGTTTTCTATTTTATGAAAATAAGTATATGTGTATGTAAATATGAGTATGCTATATTTTTAGAAAGTTCATAACAAGGCAAATAAAATAAAAATATAATATACAGGTTATCCCATCTAAAAAACCTAAGTTTGGGTCATATTTCAAGAATTACAACTCGTAGCAAAAATCTAATTACATCACTGAATTTTACATTAAAAACTTCATGGGACTCAGTTTTCAACTTTTCCATAAGTTATAATATAACCAAGATACAAAAGAGGTCGAAAATGGAACATTTTCAATTTTGTCCTGTATTTCAGGAATTAAAAGGGCTAGGACAAAAATGTGTGTAGCATCTTTAGTTTCATAAAAAAGTAGCACAGTGATGTAAAAACCACATCTTTTTCTTACTCATAAACGAGAAACCCTGCAAAACACACGAAAATGGGACACCCTGTACAGACAGATGCAAAGTCAAATAAAAAAAAATAAATAAATATGAAACAGTTAATGAACGAATGAATTAAACTCACTGTTCCTTTTTTGTTCTAGCTAGCAGAAGATCTTGAAAATTATTGGCAATTTACGCTAATGAAAAACGTTCGCCCAAGATTGAAGAAAGGTGTTGTTCCTAGATTGTTCACCTGCCAGGAATTGATAACGAGTGCTACGGTTGCACGACCTGATGCACGAAAGAGAAGAAAAAATCATATAGTCGTAGAGGCTCTAAGTGGATATGAAACACGCCCTTTGGAATCAGCGGCTAGTTCCTCCTCTTTAGAGCATGTACAATCTGGCATGACAGAAGAACGAGAAATGAAAATAATGATCAAGCAAGAGCCAGTAATATCTCATATAAAAATAGAAACAACAGAAGCTTGTATCTCAGAATCGGCGGCTAGTTTCCATGCTATAGAACATGTACAATGTGATATGTTAGAAGAGCCAGAAAGTAAAGTGCTGATCAAGAATGAGCTAGAAATATCTCCTATTAAAATAGAAACAGCAGAAGCCTGTATCTCAGAATCAGAGACTAGTTCCTACTCTTTAGAGCATGTACATTTTGACATGTTAGAAGAGCCAGAAAATGAAGTACTAATTAAGACTGAGGCAGTAATATTTCCTATAAAAATAGAAACAACAGAACCTAGGATTTCGGAATCAATGGCTAGTACTTCCGATTTAGAGCCTGTAGAATCTGACATGATAGAAGCGTCAGAAATTAAAGCGTTGAGCAAAACTGAGGCAGAAATATCTCCTATGGAGACAGAAACCGGCGAAGCTAGCATTTCTACGAATAAAATAAACTTTAGTCAGTCCGTGTGCAGTTCAATTAAAGAAGAAAATATATCTACAGAGATTGATGAAAGCTATACCGGCACTGACTGGGGTTATTACTTTGGAGAAGGGTCGTAATATATTTTTTTGGGATTAGGTATCGCTAGCACGATCGATGTGAATCTGTTTTTGACAAAGGAACATTCGTAAAAATTAGCAGAAGTTATCGTGGAGCCATTTTTTTTCAAAATAAGTTTTTGATATCTCAAATGGCCTCTTCCAACATTTATCTGTAAATATAGCAGAATATTTACAAAAACGATACCAATATATTGTTTGACCTACTATACAGATTGAATTAAGTCTTATATGACGATTCCGTGATGGTCGAGCAACTGATTTAAGCATTACAGAAGCATCATTATTAGAAGGATGTAAATTAATACGACCACCTTCAGTTACCTCAAAACGGTTAAGGCTGCAAGAATTCATTATGTTACAACCTCATTCATAATCTTGTACCAGTAACATACAGCGACTATATCGTCGGTGAAATGTGATAAACTGCTAACTCCATTATTCCTAATTTTACAGGAGAGCAAAAAAACGGTACAAAAAAAATATGTACACATGTAGGAAGTATTTTCATGCGTTAATATGATAAAAAGATAAGAATTTTATTTACTGGGAAACAATATAACTCAATATTTCGTGTTACATCATTTTTTTCAGACACAATAGGGAAATAGCAGATATTCGTCTTGCAGAAATAAGAAATAAAAATATACTTCTGGAGATAGCAACCTTTATTGTTTGAAATTTTGAAAACGGAATTGAATATTACCCAAACAGATTTAGAAATAATCAGTTAAATTTAAAAAATATGATATTCATAACCATATATTTATAATATCGTCGGTCTAGAAGCAAAACATACTTACAAGTCCAAAAACGAATAAATTTTTAATGCATTTTTAAAGATCTGAAGTAGCAGCATTTTGGACTTAATGAATATGAAAATAATTTAAAAATTAAACTTATAATTCTTAGAAGATAGGGTAGAATCCTTCCATGCTTATCCTAATTTGTATACAACGGTAGTAGACCGAGCTTGGAAGATAGTGCGTGATTTTATTAAATTTTTATTACTTTTCTCCTTATTTTTTTAATTTTTATAAAAATTATGTATCATTTACGTGGAAAAACGTTGAAAAAAATAAAACTGATTAGGTATTATGGAAATTCTTGTACAAGTAAGTAATGTTATTTAAACTATTTATAGAACGCCGATGAATTGCTCGTATATAGAGAATTTCGTTTTTCCCCTTACCCTTTACGGATACCCCGTATTTACAGAACGGATCGACACAGGGTCGAACTGGCCATATTATATATATATAACTATTAGGGGGGCCCCAGCCTTCGCGGGCCCCCTTTATAGTTCATTATTTATTCTTAACAATATTTGCTTTTGCATTGTATTATGACATGTGCATTGCATTGGTTTACCTTGCATTAGGGTAGTTCTCTGATTTCTATACAGGGTGAGTCTTAAATAAGTGCAAATATTTTCGGGGCTGGTAAATCTCGATAAAAGAAACTAATAATAATATTTCCTCTTTACCGTTTTTTCAAATAAATCCAAAACAACCAAGTTATTTCACTTTTAAAATTTCCAATTTTTTGCTATAATTTTGAGATTGGATTGTCTTTCTTGTAAATTTAATCTACTACCTATGTTGCCATATTACAAACAAAGTTTGTTTTTAAACTAAAAATTAAAAAAAAATCAAATTTTTTTTAAAAAAATTCCTAATTTTCAAAAAAAGAAATTTCGCCCAAAAAACCTCATGATCGTGTTTCTTGGGTCGAAATATACTACCCCTAAAAATATTTGCATTTATTTAAGACTCACCCTGTATATAATAGGGAATAATTGACCAAAACGTTAGGCGAAAAAATAGACTAAAAAATCCACACGGGCCCCTTCTTACATTGCCACCCGGGCCCCTTTGGCCTAGTGCGACCCTGGATCGAAGTACTGTCCTAAAGAAACATACGAGTAAGAATCAGTGTGTTTGCTTTTGCGTGATTGTAACGGAAATTATGGACTTGCAGCATTTCGGTGGCTATTTCAGATCACTGGGAGTTAGCAATTATTATTGAGTTAAAATTGCAAATTTTCTTTAATGGGAAAAAATGTATTTGCTTTCCCTACTTATAGAATATTTTTTTCTCTTTCTAATGGTATAAAAAACTTATTAACTTATTAATAAATTATTAATTAAACTTAATTAATAAAAAATGGAGTTAGCAGGTTATCACGTTTCACTGGCGATATTATATTGTTATCATAACTTGTGGTTGCATATTAAACTTTCAAAATCACATAATAAAACAATCAAATATAGATCACAATATGTTGCGTAAATGATTTCTTTAATATTGTAAATATAGACTTAGCTCAAAAATCTTCGTATTTTCCATTATACCCTCACAATAAATTTTGTTATAAATAAATGTGCTTATACTAACAAGTTTGTTTTTTGTCTCAAAATCCTCACTCGCAACACAAAAAGTGCTTTAACTTTACTAAAAGCGTGTATATACAGGGTGAGTCTTAGATAAGTGCAAATATTTTCAGGGGTGGTATATTTCGACCCCAGGAACACGTCTATGAGCTTTTTTTCGCAAAAAAAGGATGTTGAAAATCGTGCATTTTCTTTTAAATTTCTCTGTATATTTTTCGAAAACTTTTTAGAACTGCCTGTTCACCGCAAATTTTCCCACGGTATAATTTCTTAATCTCTGATATTACCATAGTTACAGCTTTACTCTATGGTTACGGCACCAAAAGGTATGCAAATACTAGCTTTGTTCGGGTTCTTGTTATTACCGATTCTGAACCGTCCTAGAACTGTGATGCGTATGCGCAGAAGGAAATATGAAGAAATTATTTCATTTGCGCATGCGCTGCAGAGCTCTAGGACGGTTCAGAATCGGTAATAACAATAACCCGAAAAAAGCTACAGAAAAAAGCCGGCGGCTCTCAAAATTTTTCCAAAAAAAATTTTGAGAGCCACCAATTTTTTTTTTTAATTTTCAAACTTAAATAACTCGGTTATTTTGGAGTTATTTGAAAAATGGTAAAGAGAAAATATGTTTCTTTTATCGAGATTTGTTACCATATTATGGCGCTGTAATTCCCCCATAACTTTTAATGCACTTTTTAAGTGCTTCTTCAGAAGTTGGATAATTGGGTGCACAGACCTAATATGGAATGTTCAGCTAAAACCATAACTTCACATTTTCCAAATTGAATCCCAGTTTGATTGACTGTTTTAGAACGTTGTCTTCTAAAGATATTCTAGCCGTTGACTGAAAGAATTGGGGAGAAACACAACCTAATGGGCGAATTCGTGACAAGGCTGATTTGATTTCCCCTTACGTCTCAAGTGCTGTACGGTGTGGCCCCAACTCGTTTTCCGGCCAACGCATAAAACAAGCATTTTCATTAATTCGGCCAGCGAAGGCATATCGAAGGCGATGCAGATTAAAATGTGTAATATCTGTAATAAGTTTAACGAAAATATCTTTGGATGAAAAATCCGCGTTTATGTATTGAAAATTTATTTGTGTTAAATATAGAATAAACAACAAAAATAAATGTTTTAAATATGACAAAATATTTCTATCGTTCAGTATTTTATTTCATGTAAAGGAATAGAAGAAACAAAAAGCAATGCATTTTGATTAAAATTGGGTTTAATAATATTTCATTATTATTATAATTATATTTCCCGCTATGGACTATGGACACGTCATGCGATGGAAACTATTAGATTGTAATAATACGGGTTTTAGAAAATCCGTATAAATAATAATAAAAAAGTGTACCTATAGATGATGTTTCAAATCCTTTAGATATTTCATATAAAACAAATTTTGAATATTTATCAATAATACACATTAATCATTCTGATACTATTATGTTTACTAACTTAGAAACGAAAACAATCCAAAAATTGATATAAATCGTGAACTCTGCCATTTATTTTCTTCTTTTAAATTTATAAGCCAGATAAATAGTTTCATAATCAGCAATGAGTTAAGAGTCTATTACCTTCAATCAACGCTATTACGCTGTAGTTCTGGTCTCAGGGGTCGGGTAAAGCGGGTGTGTGGCCGAAGGAAATATATATTATATTTCAGAAATCTGCCTAAGGCTGAGCCCGATCCTGTCGTGTTATGCCACACCCAAAACTCCAAACACACGTCCTTTGATTAAGGCTTGATTAAGGTTTGCAGAGCTTCAGCATTTACCATAAAATAGCCATAGCAATTTGTTACAAAACCATATAAATTATATATCACCGTAATCACAAAACTTCAGTCTATTTCCGTATTTTAACGGAATTTTAAATTATATCTTTATTTTCACTTATAATATCACAAGAGCTTAAATTATTTTCGGAAATTTTTTTGAGGGCACGAATATTTTGAAAATTATCCCGAGTCGAAGACGAGGGATAATTTTCCTAAAATATTCGTGCCCGAAAGAAAATTTCCAGGAATAATCTTACAGGGAAGTTGTCTAAAAATGTGCTACAATACGGATATAGTATAATCCTTTATCTTTAATTTCCTTCTTCATTTGTGTAAAAATGCCTAGCCAGTTTTACATAAAATGTGAAATGCCGAACGCTTCCCATATAACACAACACAATCCTATAGATATCTTGAGGATATCCACCAAGGATACAGTAAATATCTTAGAGATATCCAAAAACCAGAGGAGGATATTTATGGGATATCCAAGTGGGACAAAAAAAGTCATCTTCAAGACCCTAGGCAAGCCTTTTACGATTATTTGGGATATTTCTAGGATAATACAAGGATGATGTTGGGAGCATTATGGAATATTTTTAGGACATTAGGTTATTTGACAATACTTACTTCATCCTTAGTTTATAGTAAAAACGTTCGCGATTTAGTATTATTTAGCCACATTTTGACGTTATTCATTGGATATTTTTATTAACAGCTCTAAAATATGCCTACATATTATGTCAATGAATTTTGCGTCAAAATTTAGAAGTTTATTTGTATGAGTTAAAAGCTTTCAATTTATACTGTACCATCGAAAAAAAAACGGCGTTCAATTGGCTTGAAAATTACGATCGATGACATTCCCCATATAATTTTACGTACAAAATAACAGCAATCTTCATTTCCAAGCCACCTCTGACGCCGTTTTTTTCGATCGTATGGTATTATACCAGATTATACTACCCTTTATGGAGTCTAGCAGCAACAGTTTACATCAAAGTTAGCACACAGGATACAGGTATAATTTCTAACACCACATATTCCAGAAATTCACAATTTAAACCTAAAAATAGGATTTCTGTTTGAATAGATCAAACACGAAAATGGGTTTAGGGATAAAGAACAAGCGATTTTCAACAAATTTTCACCTATAATTTTGTCACAAATTCTTCATTCTGAGACCCTGAGTTGTTCGTCGTTTTTCGACATTAGTTGAGGTTAGGATAGAATTTCTGCTAGAACAAGGCTATAACTATGAGTATAAGAAAAAACTAAGTCAAACTCAACCAGTTTTGT